TGGGACCGGGAGCCGCCAGCACAGGCAGCAATTGTGGTTTGGGGTAAATTTTGGTTCCCCCGTGACAGGCCAGAGCCCACAAGGGAGGGAAACGCAGCCCCGGGCCAGTGGAGATTTGCTGGTGGGCCCAGCCCTGCCAGCCTGGCAGCAGCCAGGCCCCCAGCCCCTCGCTGGGACGGGAGATGGGGGGGCCGGTGGGACATGTTCACCGCGCTCCCCGCGCATCGACTGCTCTGTCCCAGTTCCCACTGCTGGATCCCAGCAGGCTTGCCGACACGCTAGGAGAGCTTCCTGCCAAAACCCGTGGGGTTTTCCTCTCTGCACAGGGCCAACGGGGACTCGTTGGCCAATTTTTGCCTCGAGGACCTCGTGCTCCTTCCGTGGCATCGTCACCACGGCCCTTCGCCGGGGCCGGGTGCCACGGCCCAGGAGGGGAGGGCGAGCAGGTGCCCTGGCCCTGGGGTCTCCACGCAGCTCTCGCACGCCCCATTCTGTGGGCAGATGCTGCATGCCAGGGCTGGGGACCCGGGCAGCGCCTGTTCCCAGAAAGAGGAGCTCTGAGGTCTTAAAACCCCTCTTAAAACCCCAAACCAGGGCTTTGCAAGAATGAGAAGTGCGTTGCTGGTGCGGTTCGGGCACCGAGCAGAGGTGAAGGGGAGCGGAGCTGCCGGAGGATTAGAATCTCTTGCTCATCCTTCTACTTCCTACTCTCCGCCAGACCCCAGCAGCGCTCAGGGTGCTCGCCCCCCCTCCAGAGTTTGCTCCGATTTAAAGTCCAGGAGCGCTCCGAGCAGTGGGAGCTCCCAGGGCCACCTGGGGTGACATTCCTCTTTGGGCTCCTGACCACTTTCCAGACTTTTGGATCCTATAAATCCCAGCCCTGTCTTGAAAAGCGGAACCGGAGGCTTTGGGGCGGAGGAGGAGAGAAATGCTGAAGCCAGAGCCTTTGTCAAACAAACCCATAAACTACAGAGTATGCGGGCCAAGCGCACACAGCGGGAGCCAAGAGCGGGGGAACAACAGCTCCAATTTATTTAGATTATAATGCAGCGAGGGAAGGCTTGTTTACGACAGAAGGAAAATATGCCGAAGTCAGTCGATCGCAGGCTCTGGCTGCCTCTAATTGAAAACAGAGGCTTGTGCTCGGTGGAAATCGCCACCGTTGTTCTCAGAATTTGTATTTCCCCACCACGCAGGGCACGGCCGCTCCTTGGGACGGCGGGCAGCCACAGCCAAAGAGCGCGACAGGCGAGGGGGGCGGCAGGTGCCCAGAGAACCTGCTGCCCTCGGCAGATCTGGTCTCTGCTGGAAACAGACTTGCAGTCGGGCCTTGTCGGGCTCAGTAAGACTCTCCTCGTTATCTGCCCAGCCCAGAGGAAGGATTTTTAGTTCGTTTTGAAGATATACCTCGCTTGCAGGGCTTCACTAACGCCCCAGCAGGCAGACTCCAGTGAGTCCCCGCTTCCCCGGCTGGCAAACTTCCGATGGGCTGGTAAAGAACAACTCCAGGTGGGTAAAAACCAAACCCGGTTTGGTTCCAGGAGTCAACACAGAGGTTTCACAGGAAAACGTTGAATCCCTTTGCCGCAAGCCCACAAAGTTGAGGCATGGTCATTCTAACCTCTGCTCGTCTCCACACACATCCCCGGCACATCCCTGGATCCTTCACACCGCCATCCTCAGAGAAGCGCCCTCAGCGTGTATCTGCTGGGAGGGGGAGCAGGGTTGGAAAATAACTGAAAAAAGAAAAATAAATGGCAACAAGGAACTCGACGCGACAAAGCAGCTGCTGACGTGTCTGTTCTGACGGGCCAGTTGTTTAAAGACACGGAGGCTGGCAACAAACACTGCAAAAACGCGGCAAAAGAGTCTGATGTGGCCATGATAACGCCACGGTAGCATTTACCAACTGCGGGCTTCGTGTGCTACAGCTCCCGGGCTCCTTGTTCCTGTGCAGGGCACGGCCTCTGTGCATTAAGGCAGCGATTTTTCTCGAATGCATAGCTGAAACACCTTCAAGGCCACAAAGTTGGCATCAGTAAGCTAGAATCACGCCCGTCACAGTGCTGAAGCAGCGGGTGAACGTACAGACGTGCTCTGGCTATCAGATCCACAGAATTCGCCTCCCTCTTGAGCTGAGCAGGGAATAGGAAATTGTCATCTATTTCCAAAGATCCCGATGTGTTCTTTATTTCCTCGCAAACTTTGATCAAATTGTGCAAGTCCGGCAGCTTTTCAGTCCCACCGCAAGTTTCTTCTGGCCTGACAAGGTGAACGCGAGTTTGCGTGGTTTGGTTATGCCACATGCAGAGTCCCACTTCCCAATGCGTCGTCAGCGCTTCCGAGATGAGGATAAACTCCCCCTGTGAAATGCGCAGAATCTCCCTGCGTCCTCACTGGGGCTCCTGGAACGTCCTGATGAGTTCTCGTTGCTCTTTACTAATTGCCTGGAAGGAAAACAACCGCCACTGAACTCGGTGAAGTGCTTTTGTCCACAGATGCCAGCGTTCAGGACACAGAGCAGGCTGATATAAACCAGAGCGTCACATACGCTGCCATCCCCAGCGTGTACGGGATACAACCCGCCCATCTCACACGCTCACCCACAGAAACATCCCACAGCACAGGGAAAAACATCCAAGACCTCCAGTGAAAACGCCCAGGCCCCCCCAGGCCAGTCTCAGCAGCACTTGGCTCCTGGCGAGGCCTTTGATAAGCGGAGGGCTTAAATATCGTGCAGCCATTTGCGAGTCACGCCACAGAAGAGCGTTTTGTTCGGGCTGATGCTGCAAAAGAGAAGGGGTTTTTATTTGTTTATTGTTTATTTTTACCTGCCAGGCACGTTTGCGAGCTTGTATCAGCTGCTGCAGCTCTGCAATCCTGTCCCTCCCCGCAAGCACAGACTCCGCTAGCTTCCTGTTCTCTTCCTCCTTCTCCTTTAGGATTTTCCGCAAGTAGGACCTGTGCTTAAGGAGGTACGGCACCATAGCGCTGCGAACGTCCTCTTCCGGGATCCCGCTGGGACGCCTGGGAACAACTGGGATGTGAAGGAACCTGAGAGCAACAACCTTGCACAGCGATTAGTCTCACGCACCTCAGCTGGAAGCTGAGCTGCTGCCGTAACGGATCAGCTCAGCGACTCCCCTCTGGCACCCACCGGATGCTCGAGGGCAGCTAGAACACGCGCGGCTAACAGGCACCCCGTTGCGCGGTCCCCTAACGCTGTCCGCGAAGGAACGGGAGGAGTCCTTCCCAAAACTCTGCCGTTAGTCGAGGCCTGGAGGCAGGCAGGAATAGTGTGGGCAGCAGGAGCAGGGCAGGGATTGTCCCCCTGTACTCGGCACTGGGGAGGCCGCACCTCAAATACTGTGCCCAGTTTTGGGCCCCTCAGTACAGGAAGGACATGGGGGTGCTGGGGCGTGGCCAGGGAAGGGCAGCGGAGCTGGGGAAGGGTCTGGAGCACAGGGCTGGTGGGGAGCGGCTGAGGGAGCTGGGGGTGTTCAGCCTGGAGAAGAGGAGGCTGAGGGGAGACCTGATCGCTCTGCAGCTCCTGGCAGGAGGGGGCAGGGAGGCGGGGTTGGGCTCTGCTCCCAAGGAACCAGCGATAGGACGAGAGGAAATGGGCTCAAGTTGCACCAGGGGAGGTTTAGATTGGATACTGGGAGACATTTCTTCATGGAAAAAGTGGCCAAGCACTGGAGCAGGCTGCCCAGAGAGGTGGGGGAGTCCCCAGCCCTGGAGGGGTTCAAAACACGGGCAGAGGTGGCACTGGGGGCCATGGTTTAGTGGGCACGGGGGCGTTGGGTTGATGGGTGGGCTGCGTCTCTTTAATGATTCCCAGTTTTACTTTCATTACAAATAACCCAGCCACCAAGCCAGGAAACATGAAATTAATTATTCCTCTCCCCTTGATTGGTTTAGTTGTGGACTTGGCAGTGTTGGGTTAATGGCTGGACTGGATGATCTTAACGGGCTTTTCCAACCTCAACGATTCTATGGCTCTATGAATTAACTTCCCCAAACACAGAAACAAGAAATCCTGATGATGCTTTTGTTTAAAAGACCCAGCCTACCTTTAGGGCAAACAAAAGGCAGCGTGTACAACTTCCAGTGCCTGCTGAATCCCTGAGCAAGGCATCCCAACAAGAAGTGTTGATGTGAGCTCTGCTATTAGAACAGCAGCTGTGGCTAAAACATGCCATCAGGCTTTTGAATTATTCAGAATTGAATTTACCTCCCCTGTGATCTCAGCAGCACTACCCTCCTCCTTGCACTGAGGAAGCACAGATAAAATGCCTAGGCCTAGAGAAGCACAGATAAAACTTATTTTCGGATGTTCTAAATGCAACAACGTTGCTGTTACGATACGTGAGGTTTAAAAAAATTCCTTTGCAGCACAAGGCCTACAGGACACATCAACCTGATCAAAACATCACACGGGACCCGACTTTCACCCCTGAAGGAACATATCTCCCCACAC